ATAAGCGCCTGCTTTCGTCATATTTACCGCGCGGTAAATAGTGAGGAGGGGGGCCGGGGTGGGGGTGTATAGAGTATGTTCTGGTCATGGGGGGTCAGAGGTCAGTGATGTTGGTGTTGAGTCCAGCGCGGTGACCAGGTGCAGGGCTGTAACAGACGCCCATCTGGAGGCACTGGGGCTGGGACAGACAGAGTTTCTCCAGGCTGCAGTGAGCCTCAGTTACACCTAATAGACACAGACTTTAGAAAACAACTCATACATGTTACTGGATCACACAGTCATATTTTTATAGAAAATAATTTTAGAAAATATATGCCTTACAATCATGGAGAAATTTGAATTTTTTGTTGCAATATCATAAAAAAAAAATTTCATAAGAAGGCTGTTTTCACTCCATGTTTTCCACGTGGGCACATTTTCTGTTTCTAAAGTTAAAAACGTGTTATTGTCGGCAGGATTCAAACCTGCACGGGGAGACCCCAATGGGTTTCTAGTGCATCGCCTTAACCACTGGGGCAAAAAACTTGCCCTGACACCTTTTGAGCTCATCCAGGTGATCAACAACATCATTGGCATGAAGTGTCTCAAACCACTGGTCCAGGGGCAGGCGACAGGAGGTGGTGGTGGTGGTGCATAAACAGCCTGGGTCTGGCTGAGGCAGGATTTCTTGTGCATTTCACAATCTGTGAAATAGTCACCAGATGTAAGAGTCCACTCCTCACTGTGCTCTTCCTGAAAGGCCTGCTGCAGGTAACTGGAGTTATTCCCTGCTGTTCTCAGACACAGAAGTGTCACACATTTCTTGTCCAGTGCCAGATGTGTTGTTAACACAGCAGGGAATTTGTTGTGCTTTGAAGAGTTCAGCTGGTTTAAAATGTCACAACTTCAAGGACAGACAGGTTGCTTGCACTTGCTGCACTTTGGATAATCACCTCCAGTCAAATAATATTTGGGTGCCACATCAATGACCTCTCTGACTTTGGGGTATATCCCAGAGTGGTGCATCTTTTGGTTGCACTGGGTGCATTTCAGCGGAATTCCCCACATGCGCATCGGAGCCCAAAGGAACATCCTCTGTCAGAAATAGACATGAAGATTTGGAGGTGATGCAGATCTCACTGGGTTTGGGGGGGTGGTGCCAATTTTCCGAGATGTCCTGTCTCAGCTGCGCATTCGCTTCATACAGGATGTGGGCAATCCACTCCTGGTCACCTGGCTGGATCACCCTGAGGAACGGCTTGGGTAAAAAACTAGCCCGGCTTAACTCTGGACAGTACAAAAGGACTGGGAGCCCTGGTGCTGCTGCTGGAGGAGGGGCAGAGGCAGAGGCAGGAAGAAGTAGTTGGCGGTGTCTCTGAGTCGCTGGTGCCATCTCAGGAACTGTTGGAGTTGGAGTTTGAGGGGCAGGAGCATCTTGGTGGCAAATGACAGGCGTCATCTCTTTAGAGGGGAGGGAGGCTGGAGCAGGAGCATCTTGGTGGCGGATGCTTGGTGCTACTGTCATTTCCTGGGCCTGGGCAGTAGAGGGGTAGGAGGAGGCTGAAGGGGCCAGAGGTGACATTTTTGGAAGGTCATCTGTGAGTGATTTCACATCATGACATCTTTCAAGGTGCTGTGATAATCCTAGTTTACCCTGGGCCTTCACACCAGTGTTCACACTGCTCCTGGGTATGATGGTCCAATAGGTGCTGTGAGAACTGGTCCAATGAAACTTTCTCAGCACAAACACTGCACATCATGGTAGCAGGAGCTGAACCTTCCTCACTTCCAGACGCTGCACTGGCCCTTGGTGTGTGTGCTGCTGTTGTCCTGTACAGCCTATGGATCTGCCCGTGCGTCTGCCGGCTTTCCTGACTAGGGAAAAAAAAAATTAAATAAAATAAATTCAGGAATATTCTCCAAAGCAAACAGTCTGCATCAAAACAACAGAATGACAGAATCATGCAGACCCAATAGATAACGATCCATGACAAACTGACTAAACATTAAACACAGGATGATGTGCTGTGTGTGAGAGCGGTGCTGAGTGTAGGTGTGTGTGTGTGTGTGTGTGTGTGTGTGTGTGCGCGTTTGCGTGTGTGTTAGGGGGGAGGGGTAACTTACTTCATGGTAACCACATTGGCAGGGGGTCGTTTTGCCAAAAATGTCAAACTTTCTGACAGGTTGGCCGAACACCAAAGGAGTCAGAGGACAACTCTAGACCCTCTGTAACACTGCCCTCCAACGTCTGCTCCCAGCTTTGCATCTGGCTTTTGACTCTTTGGCATGTCTGCGAAAGAGGATAAGAGAAGACAATATTTAGACACCTAAGCTTTTCATTGAATAATGCCTGAACTTATTCAAATGAATTTGGTAGCTGTCCTTTTGGTGTTGTATTCTCTGCTGATAAATGATGTGACCTCCAGGATGAACTCTTGAGCTCGTGTCTGTTATCTACTGGAGACCTACATGCTGAACTAATAAAAGTTTACATTTTTTCAGACTTTGACTCACAAAACACCCTAAACATCACTGTTGAGCCAGTGATTTCAAAACTGTTATTTATGACTTGTCACTGTCATTTCAAAGTCATTAGTTACATTACAATATTACTGTGTTTAAAATGTAAAACATTACACGAATATTACAGCACTTTAACTCAACAAAAGAACTGTGCAAAGATGCAGAACTTTTGGATCATATATGGACTGAACCAGGACTAAACCAGGTCTAAACCAAGATTAGATCAGGACCAAATCAGAACTAATCTTGGACTAGAGAGTCCGTGGAACAGGGTGAAGGCTTCGGCCGCAGTTAGCTCCATGCCGGCCGGACTTCTCTGCGGGTCTTTTCCCGTGTAGACCCTCCGTTAAACGCGGGCACACCTCTGGGCCCGTCCCGACACTCGGAATTTTAAGGATGGCATTTCACCGCAGCTGATATCACGGAGACTTTTGCGAATTTGTATGGAGAAAAACTAAAAATCCACCTGTTAGGATTTGTTTTTTTGTTCTCTCCCCCTGTCCCTTTTGTTGCAGAGTTTGAGTGCGGCAGGGGGCGTGGCTTCTTCCAGAGCAGATGAGACACACCTGCAATTAATTCCTTCATCAGCCTCTGTATTTAGCCCTGGTCTTCTCACCACCACTCTGCCAGATAATTCCGTCCTGTTCGGTAGAGTTCTATCAGGCTCTTGGATATGTATCCGTTTTGCTTGCTGCTTGTCTTGGACTTACCTGTTCCTGTTTTCGCCCAGGCGTCTCCGTGGTTGTCTGCCGTTGCCTCTGGAGGCAGCCAGCTCCTTGCCTTCTCAGCCTGCCTTCCATTTGTAAAATAAACTGTTTAAAACTTGGCTGAGTCCTGGCTCTGCTTTGGGGTCCCTCTTGCCAAACCTTACCACCATTTCAATCCAGGTTAAAAATGCATTGTGACGCACGTTATTTACATTTGAACTTCTATAACGCATTACTCCCAACACTGATTAGAATGGACCTCTATTTCAAAACGTCAAAATTCCACTAACTTTTGTTCCGTCGCGATTTGCTAGTTATTACAAAATCACAAGTCACATACAAATACGATTTAAATACACTAATCTATATCATATTGGTAAATTGTACTTGTAATGTCGAGAGAAACGATGCAATCGTCACTGATGAATAAATTGACTGACCTCAGAATAAAGTTTTTAAATGTTTTTCTGTACAGCCTCTCACCTGCTAAGCAGAGACAGACGCTGATTGGCTCCTTCACCGTGAGAGCGTCACTGCTCCCATTGGCTCTTTTACCCCCATTGTTAGGACTTTGTTAGGACTTTGTTAGGAACTGTTAGGACTTTGTTAGGAATTAAAATACAGTCCATTTGGTGCAGGGAAACGGCCAAGAAGGGGCAAAACGGACTGCTCGATGGGGGAAAGAAAAAGAAAAGGGGGGGGGAAAGAAAAATGAAAGAGGAAAAAATTGAAAAGAGGGAGGAGAGGAGAAGAGAGGGAGAAGAGAAGGATATTTATTTATTTATTTATTCTAAATTAATTTATTCATAAACTCCACTCCACAACACATGAACACACTGTATGTTTATTTACAGTACATAGTGAATCTTTCACATTATATTATAATACATATTATATACATACATGTACACCTTATAATATTATAATATACACAGTAAATATTCACAGTACCACATTTTCCCTCTAGAGGTCTCACTTCAAAGGGTGAAGGGAGGGTTACGATTTGAGTAACAAGTTGCATAAATTTAAATCAATTTACTGGTTTAAGAAGTTGCACACTCTTGCCAGGACTTGCACCTGGAATCTCCCACCCAAAGGATGGACGTGTTACTATTACACCACAAGAGTTTGTTTTGTTTGTTTTTTTTTGTTTTGACTTTTTTTTTTTTTTTTAAAGCACATATTTGGAACGGCAACTGTGCTTATTAATCTTAATCTTTTAAAAAAGTTTGCAACTGCAAATGTAACAAACGTATACAAAAATATAACAAAGAAATACTAGATTGTAATGTTACCATTGCAAGTAAGTAAGTAACATGACATTTATTTACATAGCGCTTTTCACAGACACAGGTCACAAAGTGCTTCACATACAAAAGATAAAAAACAGCATAAGATACATTCAAACAGTCATAGCAGCTCTCAAGGAGGTAGTTTACTCCACAGTTTAGGGGAGAGAGCTTTTCCACTCCTCCAAAGTCTGTCCAGAGGCAGGGCAGTACCACTTGCCACGTACCTGTGTGTGCCCAGTAGATTTGGCTTTTGCTTCCCCGCACAACTTACACTGGTAGTGGTAGTGCTCTTTAGTTTGGCGTTTCTTGGGGGGCTCACCTCTCCGCTCACGCTCCTGATCTTCAAGTGCAGCCTTCTGTAATCGCCATTCACGATGACGATTAAGAGGGTTTACCCCTGAGTGGGTTTGAGAAGGGGCTATAGGTGGCTGGTGGGTGGTGGCCCTATCCTGGGTGGATGCTGAGGGGGGCTGAGGGGTGGTGGACCAGCCCTGTGTGGATGGCCAGTCAGCAGGCTGAAATCCTTCCAGAGGTCTTGGATGAAAACCCAGAAGATGAATGTGCAGATGTGACTGTGCCACACATCACGGACATTACGTTTCAGGTAATACGATGTCAAATGTTTGATCATTCAACAGAAAATATGGAAAAACTAATTTTAAAGAGTTTTTTTTAAATGTACAACTGACAAACTTTATAATATAAGTGCCTTATTTTATTAATCACCTCAGGAATCTGAATACCCATTTGTGGACAGCGATGACTCAGTGATGGAGCTCTTACAAGGCCAAGTTGAGGAGAGTGATGCGTCTGCTGGGCCCATTGAATCCCCACTTGAGGAGAGTGACGCCACTGCGAGGACCATCCAAACCCCTTTTGAGGACACTGGGCCTGTCACCCCAGCTCTGGTACAGTGGATACATATCTTATTTTGTAATCTAATTGAATCTGGTCTACACTCATCTAATTACCATTGGAAATGTAATTTTATTTATATATTTTTTATTGATATTTATGGTTTTGTTGTTTATTTTGTTGTGGCAGGTCACAAGTTCTGATTCCAGAGGCATTCCTGGATGGGAGGCAGTTGATGCTTTGGCAGGGTACCTGGTTGGGCTGAACCGATCAATAACTGCTCTCTCGAATACTGAGGTGGCAGAGATATTGAGGCTGTACAGCTGCTTGAACATCTTCGACCAGACCCCCACCCGATACACCCTCAAAAGTAAAAAAACAACTTTGTCAGGACCTTGGAGAGCGTCAAGGAAGCGCAGTGGCTCTGCTCCAGGCCAGCAAGCTGCTGAAAGGTATCTATCTACATCTCATACAGTTGTAATTGTTCAGCGTCTGTATTAGTGTATTTGAGTGAATATGTCAACAGGCATATATTGTGTGCACTATGTGACATGGTCATCTTTTTGCAGATTGTACATGGTTCATGGCCAGGCTGCGCACAGACCAGATCATAACCGAGTTTCAGAGTGTGTGGCTCTGAAACTGTACAAGGAGTTCAGGGAGGCCAGAAATAGGCCAAAGGACAATAAGGGCAAGACTTTTCCCATTCCACAGTCGATTGTCATGGCTTACAGCCATATCAAGCAGCTGGTTGAGGACAGCAGAGACATTATGGACAAGACTGACCTGGTGTTAGTGAACATCAACAACACCACGGTGTCCTCCTGGTAAGTTCATCCTTAATATCTTTAAGATTTTTTTTTTTAAATTGCATTGCTGGGTTTCAGATGACATTACAGCATTCTATTGGACAATATTAACTAATACAGATGGAGGGCAGCTAAAATTTCAATTGTTACAATCCAAAATGATGTTGCAATACAGTGAGATCAAAGGTTTAGTCAGTAATTGAAAATACCAGGTTCACCATTTATGAATTCAACTTTTGGATATTTCATGGTAAAGTACAGTGTGATCAATAGGGAATTTGCCCTCATCTTAGAGTATGACATCATCACATTCTAGAATCTGAAAACCTTCAATTGGTGGTTATCAGATTTTAGAATGTGATGATGTCATACTCCCAGATTGGGGACAAGAGACAGGTTTTTATATATATATATATATATATATATATATATATATATAGTACATTGCCATTAAATATACAAAAAGTACACTCATAAATGTTGAGCTGATCATTTTTTTTGTCACTAGACCCAAGAACTGACTGTATTACAACAAAAATATTATATTCACTTTAGCTGCCTCCCATCTGCATTAAATCATATTGTCCTATAGAATGTTATGATGTCATCTGAAACCCAGCAATACTTGAACACAGTTCTAAAAAACATGTTGAACTAAATCGTATTATTGTGTGTGTGCTTGTGTTTTTTTGTTTTTCTTTCTCTTCAGGCTGCATGATCGGCAAAAAAGAACTGAGCGAGATTTGCTCCTTCAGGGCACACATCTTCCTGGACAGATCACTGTAGCTGAGGAATCGCTCCCTGAACCCCTTGCCTTACCATCGCGGCCGGTTCAGCGTGGGCACAGTCCTCTGGTGTTTCAGGAGCCAGAGAACCTTGAGGGTTTGGCAATGATACGACAGCGTCGCAGTGCCAGAGCACCAGCGCCAGAGAGAATCAGCCTCAAGCATGATGGTGCTGAGATCCCTCCTTCCCACAGCTGTATGCAGGAACAGTCCTCAGTCTATCAGCTGCCCCCAGCACATCACCAGAGCTGGCCCTCTTTCCATCCACAAGCCATGGACCACACCCAGGGCTGGTTCTCTAACCCTCACCAGTTACCCCCAGCATACCCTCAGAGTTGGTTCTCCTCCCAACAGGCACCCTCAGCACCCCCAACTCACCCTCAAGGCTCAACGCCTTACCTGGCACCCCCAGCACACTCCTACGGTTGGCCCTCCCAGCAATCCTCCACATGCACCCAGGGCTGGTCTGCCACACACCACCTGCCCTCCACATCCACCCTTTTACCCCCATTGTTAGGACTTTGTTAGGAACTGTTAGGACTTTGTTAGGAACTGTTTGGACTTTGTTAGGAATTAAAATACAGTCCATTTGGTGCAGGGAAACGGCCGAGATCTCCTCTGTTGGACTGTGCCAGAAGGTACTCCACAGCAATGCGCTCTCCTGCAATAATTAGGGGAGAAAAAGATTTTTTAATTTCCAGGTCACAGCTTATTTAGTTATCACCAACAGCAGTCTTCTTTCTTACCAGTAGGTTTCCCGGGGGGGATAAACTCGGGAATGAGGGGTCTTCCCAACACTCTGTTGCTCAGCACATTCACACTTGACAGCAACCATATGTCATATATTTTTGTCCCGGATGTTTCAGTCATGGCAAGTGCTTGTGCTGAGCGGTTGATGTTCCACCTCGATTCACACTCAAGCATATACATTTGAGTATGCAGTGCACCACCCTGATAAGACAAAAAACAGGATCACTGATTTCTGCACATTGCAACATTATAACAATATGACACATAGCATCCAATACAAAATGTTCTATATGTAGGATTAAAACTTGCCTGGAATGAATGCACACTGGTGCTTGTGGAAACTCTCAAGAGAGGAAGACCCTCTGCCGCATCTTAGGACATCCAGTGTCTTGTCCCCTTTCTCCAGCCCTGAGCCAGTGTTGGTGTACAGCTGCACCCCTGGTGGATCCTGGATGCAAGCAAGGTGTTTCTGCTGCACCTCCCACACTCGAGACATGCTCTCATGGTTAATGAGGTGCAGTCCAGTGCCATCCACCAGCTGCCACATGGAGTCAAGGAGACATTTGATGCGGGCACGGGTCTCCTCTACCCCCCCGGTTCTCCTGCGGCAGTGCCTCGCTAACTCCCTCGTATTGATGGTTGCCAACACCTGAGCATCGGTTGGCTCACGCCCATGGTGCTTCTTTTTCAGTTCTGCCCGCTTGGCCTCCTTCAAGCGACAGACGTCCTGCTTGTCCCACTCAAAGATGCTGCTGGACAGTTTGGAGCAGAATGTGCCATACAGTGGATGGTGTTCTGTGGTGAGACCATTTGTGAACCGCCTCATGAAATGGAACACATCCAAACGCACAGTACACGTCCAAGGCCGAAACCACTGCAGAACGGGGCTCACTCCTACATAAATAAACAATAAAAAAACATACCTTATGGATCTTACAGATCTATAACCATCAATTATAAAAAGTGTCTGTTTACGTGTATTTATATACCAATAGCTATGAATACTAACATGTACATGAATCTGTGTGTGTGTATGAACACTGATGTGTATTGTGTATGTGTGTATACCAAAAGAACTAAATATGTATTCTTTCCTGCACTCTTAAAAATTATTTTTTTCTGTAAATAGTTCTGCCATTTTGTATCTTATTCTATATGTTAATAGGATTAGGGTTAGGCAAAAGAAGTGTTAAAACTTCAGCCTAAACCCCTACAGTCTGTAGAATAACTTTGGTGCTTTGCATAATTTCTGTGTTAAATCATTGTAATATGATGATCAAAGAAAAATAAAGTAACTAACTAACTGCCTTAATCTGCTGGCAAAAACATCACAACACAAAGCACAGGTAACCCACCTCTGTCGCTGCAACAGTCTCTGTCCACATAGATGGCGTCTGGCTGTGGCTCACCAGCATCCCTGTACCGTTTCACGATGCCTTGGCACAGGTCATCCAGGCCAGCTCCCTCACCGGTTGTAAGGACAGAGTTGAGAACTTGACCATGCTCGTTCCCAATATTGGTCATCCATGTTGCTGTGTCCTCAATCCCTCCAGCCAGTTTTTTGGTGACCTATATTATAACAAAGTACATACTTCATAAACACATGTATTCTTAGCCAACTCAAAAAGAAAAAGAAAAAAATTGGGCTTATAAAGTTGTACATTTACCTTTTTAGTGGAGTCAAGCTTGAGAATTCGGCCAAATGTTGAGGTGATGACACCTTTGAGCTCGTCCAGGTGACCAACAACATCATTTGCATGAACTGTCTCAAACCACTGGTCCAGGGGCAGGCGACGGAAGGGCGGTGGTGGCACATAAACAGTCTGGGTCTGGCTGAGGCAGGATTTCTTGTGCATTTCACATTCTGTGAAATAGTCACAAGACCTCCGAGCCCACTCCTCACTGTGCGCTTCCTGAAAAGCCTGCTGCAGGTAACTGGAGCTATTCCCTGCTGTTCTCGGACGGAGAAGTGTCACACATTTCCTGTCCAGTGCCAGATGTGTTGTCAACACAGCAGGGAATTTGTTGCGCTTTGACGGGTCCAGCTGATTTAAAATGTCACAACTCCAAGGACAGACAGGTTGCTTGCACTTGCTGCACCTTGGGTAATCACCTCCAATCAAATAATATTTAGATGCCACATCGATGACCTCTCTGACTTTGGGGTATATCCCAGAGTGGTGCATCTTTCGTTTGCACTGGGTGCATTTCAGTGGAATTCCCCACATGCGCATTGGAGCCCAAAGAAACATCCTCTGTCGAAAATAGTCATGTGGATCTGGAGGTGATGCAGATCTCACTGGGCTTGGGGGGTGGTGCCAGTTTTCCCGGATGTCCTGTCTCAGCTGCCCATTCGCTTCATACAGGACGTGGGCAATCCACTCCTGGTCACCTGGCCGGATGACCCTGAGGAACGGCTTGGGTAAAAACCTAGTCCGGCTTAACTCTCGACAGGACAAAAGCACCGGGAGCCCTGGTGTTGCTGCTGGAGGAGGGGCAGAGGCAGAGGCAGGAAGAAGTAGTCGGTGGTGACTCTGACTTGCTGGTGCCATCTCAAGAACTGTTGGAGTTGGAGGGGCAGGAGCATCTTGGGAGCAAATGACAGGTGTCTTGTCCTTGGTGGGGAGGGAGGCTGGAGCAGGAGCATCTTGGGTGTGGATGTTTGGTGTTTCTGTTATTTCCAGGGCCTGGGCAGTAGAGGAGTAGGAGGAGGCTGAAGGGGCCGGAGGTGACATTTTTGGAATGTCACCTGTGAGTGATTTCACAGCATGACATCTTTCAAGGTGGTGTGTTAATCCCATTGTTCCCTGGGCCTTCACACCACAATGTTCACACTGCTCCTGGGTGTGGTAGTCCAATAGGTGCTGTGAGAACTGGTCCACCGGAACTTTCTCAGCACAAACACCGCATGTCATGGCAGCAGGAACTGAACCTTCCTCACTTCCAGATGCTGCACTGGCCCTTGGTGTGCTGCTGTTCTCCTGTGCAGCCTGTGGATCTGGTAGTGCCTGTGCCTGCTTTCTTGACTAGAAAAAAAAAAGAAAAAAAAGAATTTGCAACAAAACAAGTCAATGAATCACAGAATCATGCAGAACCAATAGACAATGATCCATGAGAAACTGACTAAACATTAAAGACAGGATAATGTGCTGTGTGTGAGAGCAGTGCTGAGTGTAGGTTGTGTGTGTGTGTGTGTGTGTGTGTGTGTGTGTATGTATGTGTGTGTGTTGGGGGGAGGGGTAATTTACCTCATGGTAACCACATTGGCAGGGGATTGTTTTGCCAAAAATGTCGACCTTTCTGACAGTTTGGCCGAACACCAAAGGAGTCAGAGGACAACTCTGGATCCTCTGTAGCACTGCCCTCCAACGTCTGCTCCCAGGTCTCTGGCCAGTTGAAAATTTGTATTTTCCCTGAGCGTAGAGGGACATAACACCAGCCCAGTGTGCATCTGGCTTTTGGCTCTTTGGCATGTCTGTGAAAGAGGATAAGAGAAGACAATATTTAGACATCTAAGCTTTTCATTGAATAATGCCTGAACTTATTAAAATACATTTGATAGCCCTCCTTTTGGTGTTGTATTCTCTGCTGGTAAATGATGTGACCTCAGGTTGAACTCTTAAACTAGTGTCTGTTATCTACTGGAGACCTACACGCCGAATGTATACAAATAAAAGTTTTATTTTTTTCAGACTCTGATTCACAAAACACCCTAATCATCGCTGTTGGGCAAGTGACTTTAAAACTATGTTATTTATTACTTATTACTGTCATTTCAAAGTAATTAGTTGCATTACAATATTACTGCATTTAAAATGTAAAACATTACATTACTATTGTATTACTTTAAGTTACTCTCAACAAAAGAACTGTGCAAGGTGCAGAACGTTTGCGCCATATATGGACTGAACCAGGGCTAAACCAGGGCTGAATCAGGACTGAACCAGGTCTAAACGAGACCTGAACCAGGACTAAACCAGGTCTAAACCAGAACTGAACCAGGACTAAACCAGGTCTAAACCAGAACTGAACCAGGACTAAACCAGGTCTAAACCAGAACTGAACCAGGACTAAACCAGAATTGAACCAGGACTAAACCAGAACTGAACCAGGACTAAACCAGGTCTGAATCAGGACTGAACCGGGTCTAAACGAGACCTGAACCAGGACTAAACCAGAACTGAACCAGGATTAAACAAGGTCTGAATCAGGACTGAACTGGGTCTAAACGAAACCTGAACCAGGACTAAACCAGGTCTAAACCAGAACTGAACCAGGACTAAATGAGGGCTAAATCAGGACTGAACCAGGACTAAACCAGGTCTAAACCAGAACTGAATCAGGTCTAAACCAGAACTGAACCAGGACTAAATCAAGACTAAACCAGGACTAGTCTTGGACTAGAGAGTCCGTGGAACAGAGTGACCGCAAAGCGCGATTGGTCTTCGGGCGCGGTTAGCTCCGTGCCGCGGGACTTGCGCGCGGGTCTTTTCCCGCGTAGACCCTCCGGTAAACGCGGGCGCCTCTCCGGGCCCATCCCGACATTCTGAACCGCAACGATGCCGTTTCACCGCGGCTGATTAGTGCGTTACATTACTGTGTTACAGCAAAAAGCTACACATTACAGTAACTTTTATAACGCATTACTCACAACACTGATGCACGGACCTCAATTTCAAAACACTTTTGTCACGTTGCTACTCGCTAGTGATTACAAAATCACAAGTCACAAACGAATACAATTTAAGTACACTAATCTATAACATTTTGGTAAATTGTACTTACTTGTAATGATACGATGCGATCGTCGCTGATGAATAAAGTGCGTGAGCTCAGAATGAAGTTTTTCAATGTACAGTGTCTCACCAACCTGCTAAGTGGAGACGGACACTGATTGGCTCCTTCACCGCGAGAGGCTCACTGCTCCCATTGGCTCTTTTGCCCCTCGGAGACACAGGCGCGCCAAAGCATCTGATTGGCTCTTTTGCCCCCATTGTTAGGACTGGTTAGGACTTTGTTAGGAACTGTTAGGACTTTGTTAGGACTTTGTTAGGACTGTTAGGATTTTGTTAGGACTGTTAGGATTTTGGTAGGACTTTGTTAGGAACTGTTAGGAGTTCGTTAGGAATTAAAATACGGCCACGACAATACATCACTGTTACGTCATACCCTCACAGGAAATGTCGAAAAACCACCTGAACACACAAGAGCAGAGTGAATACTGAAAAATCTCAGTTCGATCTAGCACACAATAACACACAGTAAAACATATGGAGTAAGAAAGCTGTCAAAAATATTCGTGCGCATAAAATAGAAATCCGTGCGTATTTGTAAACTCTCAAATGAGTCCAGTCGTACATAAAATATATTGTGTGTATTTTATCCCTCAGAATACGAATTGAAAAATTACGACGTCATGAATTACAATCACGAAATGAAAATTTACGATTACGCTTTCATCAGTACGAATACGAATTCACAGACGGAACTTTACTGTTAAAAATACGTCATCACTTCACAGACATTATTCAACGAGCAGAAGAAACATCGATCAAGATCAAGACTGTGCAGCTCAAGTTTGTAGCAGAGTAAAAACAGAGTAATAGCACAAGAAGCTACAACAGCGACCAACAAGTGAAGACTGACTGATGCTCGCTGTGGCTGTAGCCATGAATGTTTTAATCTAAACCTACAGAGAACCTGATATTTGCTAATTAGCCCTGGGATTATGTTACGTCGGATGTTAGCTAACTGGCTACCACTATGTTTTCTAACATATAGGTGCAATTTCCCGTTCAGAGGAGGTGTTTCTACACAATATTATACAGCAGCGTTCGGTTCCCGAATTCAAGACATTTTTACAATAGATTTTGATTAACCCACTTGTTGGTCGCTGTTGTAGCTTCTTGTGCTATTAGTGTTCCTTTTCATATAAAATAAACAACATACAGTGCTCCTCAATTAGCCTAGTGTAAAATCTACTGTGCAGTTCTCAGTGGAGTCGAAAAACTTGTCCTCGTGGAGTGGAAAAACGTGACGTTGTCGGCAGGATTCGAACCTGCGCGGGGAGACCCCAATGGATTTCTAGTCCATCGCCTTAACCACTCGGCCACGACAACACGTCACCATTACGTCATAGGGAGCTTTAAAAGGATTAAGACGGGAGACTTAACGTTTACACAATATTTACCTTCTGATAAGAGAGAGAGAGAGAAAAAAAAGATGAGCTAAAATACTTTATAAAAAAAAGAATTAAGCGTTTCATTCATGGAACTGTGCATGCTCCATGGTTTCATCGTCGTGAAAGTTTAAAGTAAAACGAAGTAAAACAAAGTAATCTAGTGAGTAGAGATTCTGTTATCATCTGCTCTGACACAGATCTGCTCACCCTCTCTGATCATTTCCCATAAAATGTGTTTTCTCCACAGATTGTCTATGGTTTTATCTAACACGAGCGCGAGATCATCAACAGTCCGACAGCGCCATCTGCTGCAGCGTGGCAGTATTAACACGTCTGACCACAGGGACACTCCTTTTTATGATGAGTAAAACGTTTTGTGTCTCACTACTTTATTTTGTGTCTCACTACTTTATGGCCCTTAAAGTCTAAAAACGCCAAACGTTTTCTCATTCATTCTTAAAAGAAGTGTTTTTTTTTTGTTTTTTGTTTTTTTTTGTAGTCCCTCATCTTTTATAGAAAAAACAATTTCATGTAACAAATCAGGACTAATTTGATCCATGAGGGACATAACCTGCACACAGCAGCGCAGACATTAAACAGGTCTATCACAAATTAAAAGAAAATTTTAAATAAGGAACTAAAATATCAAATAAGGCACAAATATGCATGTAATTTTATTATTATTATTAAATATATAGTAGGCTAAATTTAATATATATATTGGCTATTTACAATTGGGGTGGGATTGAACTCGCTGTCAGAAGCCTAATTATCGAATGTCGTAAGGTAAAGGATAATTATTGCGAAAGTTTTGTGTAATGTTGTTTAGATAAGCCCTACAGCTCGCTCAGTTTAAAGTAGAAAAATCAAAACATGTCGTTGTCGGCAGGATTCGAACCTGCGCGGGGAGACCCCAATGGATTTCTAGTCCATCGCCTTAACCACTCGGCCACGACAACACGTGATATACCCGCCATTAGAGCTCTTAAAAAGACAGGCACTGGATTTAGAAACGGGTCCAGCAACAGTGACAAAAGATCAACCCTGACAAACATAATCACGAATTAAAGCAGCAAGGGGCGTCGAGCGGCACTTGCCCGGTGCGCACGCTCCTCTCACGCAGCGTTATTGTCCCTTCCCGAGGGCTGCCCGGGCCAACACATCCTCCACCAGAAAAATGACACACTGCACCTTTAAATGTTTTTTAGGCGTGTTTGCGCCTCTGTTGGACAACCGTGAAAAATACCCCATGTTAATCATATATAGTTTTGCTTCTAGTCGTTCATAGAATTGAATTCCCAAATTTGGTACAGATCCGATAATGTTGACGTTTCATGTCTGTGGTAGGGAGCACTATACTGTTCACTTTTCATATGTTTTATAGAGGATTATATTCTGGCCGAAATCATGCATTAACAATTCAATATTTGGCTAATATCTGGATTGTCAGGGGGCGTGGTCATAATAATATTTTTGGTTTGTCTTCACTATTTCATTTTTGGATATTTTCATAGCACTGTGAGCAGGCTCGCATCTCCACAGACCTGACTCTACTTCTCCTGCTTTTTTCCGTGGAAATGTTGTCCCTTTGCCTATATTCCACAGTCTGGAATATAGATGGAATATAGTAAATAGTAGTAATAATTCAGTCATACTGTTTCTGTTCTTTTTGTTTGTTTGTTTTTACTTAATATAATCTCCTTCCTGGTTGGACATGGGCAGTAATTCCATGTTATATATCATGAGCACAAGTCTCTCCACCAACAACATAAAAACCTGAACTTTCATTTGCCCTATTATTATTATTATGTTTATTAAGGACATCACAATCGCATTAGACAAGCCAGATGCATTGCTTTGAGTGTTTTAGCACAAGTGCTAGTTTTCAACACCTGTCCATATAAAAATATAAACTACATGCATAAAAACAGAAAGTACAAGACACATAAATTACATACAGATAAAATATATACAGTAGATTTTAGTGGATGCAGTTTTGACTGGAAACATACAATAACTTTAATTTCCTTTTAAATTTGTTGTAGTTGGTTTCCAATTTTAAATGAGCTGTTAAACCGTTCCACAGACTAGCCCCTTTAAAAGAGAACGAGGACTGACCAAGAGCCGTCCTGTACCTAGGAACAACACAATTACCACTAGTAGCGCCTCTTGTGTTCGCTCTTGTGAACATTTTATGGTCCTGGCAAATTCTGAGTGTAATGGTGTATTGCGGTTAAGACACTTAAAAAATAATTTAAGATTGTTAAAATTGATAAAATTTTCAAAGTTAAAAAGTTGATGTTTCTTTGTAATTTCACAGTGGTGCCAGTTTTTGGGCTTTTTGTCAAAGATCTTAAGGGTCAGTTTGTATAATGAACAAAGCGGTTTTAATGTAGTTGAGGAGCCTGGGACCATGAGGTGATACAATAAGACAGATGAGAGAAGATCATTGCGTTCATGAATATTTTAGAAGTGTGGAGCGATAGATCTTTACGTATGAAACGAAAGCAACTGAGACTAATCTTAATCTTCTTCACCAAGTATTTTGTGTGACCAGTAAATTTTAAATTTTCATTTAGAATGAGGCCAAGGTATTTAACTTCACTGACAGCTTGAATTTTCTCATTGTGCATAGTCACTTCAAAGTCAAAGT